TCGTTCGGGGAAAGTCGGGACTGAGCCGGGGTCGCTCGGAGGTAGTCGGGACGGGGCCGGGGTCGCTCGGAAGGGGTCGGGGTCGCTCGGAAAGGGGTCGGGACGGGGACGGGGTCGCTCGGAAGGAGTCGGGACGGGGGACGAGAAGTCGCTAGGGGGGAGTCGGGACTGGACGGGGGTCGTCGTTCCCGAGTCAGGACCCGGCCAGGATGGTTTGGAGGAGGTCCGGTCGGAGCCAGTGTCGTTCGAGGGGGAGATCGGGACGGGGCCGGGGTCGTTCGGAGGAGGTCCGACCGGGACCAGGGTCGTTCGGGGAGAGTCGGGATTAGATCCAGGCCTCTCGGGGGGAAGTGGGGACGGGACAGGGGCCGCTCAGGGGAAGTCGGGACGGCGGCGCCTACTTACTCGGCTGTACCAGATGCTGAGGCGGGCCGGGGCCAGCACGGCAAAGAACGCTCTCCGAGGATCCGACTGGACGTGGAGCGGCGCCTCGGCCGGGCTCCGCGGCGCGCAGAGCAGCCTCTTGGGCCAGCCGCTCAGGAAATACATGGTCCGCGCGCGGCCCCGACAGCCCCCGGCGGCCCCGGCCGCGTCTGTCACGCTCGGCGACCCCGGGCCAGGTGCCCACCTCCCACACCGCCACCGGCCGAGTCGGCGGCGGCGACAGCGGCAGCTCGGGGCATCTGCCCGGGGGCCGGGCCGAGCCGGGCCGACGCGGTGCTGCGCGACGCAGTCTCGGGCGCTGACGGGCCGAGGGTGGGGGAGGCGGGAGGCCAGTGGGCCCGCGGCGGGAGGAGCCGAGGCCGGCCCGCCCCGCTCGCCGCTCGCGTCAGCACGCCGCACGGCGCAGGGAGGCGCCTCAGGCTCCGCCCGGTCCTCTCAGGCCGCCGAGCGTCAGCACGCAGGTCGCTGGGCTGGACGCCGCCTGTTCGAGGCGTCTTGCTGACGACCGGGAGCGTGGGCCTGGGGACCGGGGAGAGGCGACCGAGTCCAGTCAGTGACAGTCCGGGCGGCGCGGCCCATTAGGACTCCCCTCGATTGGCGCGCGCTCCGGGGCTGGGGGGAATGGGGGGTACCGCGGGGGACGGAGCGAGAGTCACGTGACCCTCCGACTGCGATTGGCTCTAGGTCTCTGCGACTCCAAGACTGGGGCGGTGTGTACCGAGAGATCTTTTGTGTGCTGCGGTTTCAAGTGAGAGCTGCTGATGGGTCTGCACTCCCGGAGTTCGCATTCAGTTACTAAACACCGTAGCCAAAGAGTGCTTCAATCCTGTCTTCGGGTCTTCAAGCGTTCTAAATCTAGTACAGTATATATTTCTAATTCAGTTTGCATCCTCCTGCCCCTCTACCAGCTATAGTGCTAGACGAAGCCCAGATGGTGCCTTTTGCACCCCCAGTAAAATATGTTCTGGAAAAGAAACGGGCTTCTTTTTCTGAGTTGGACCAGACTGGAGATAACTGTATCGGGGTAGTCAACTTTGGGCGATGTTTAGTTTGGGGATCTGGAGCCTTAAAAATAGCTACAACTTTTAGCAGACTGACCTGATAGCTTCTTGAGCGCGTGAAGGAATGAGAGGAAGTGGAGTTGGGAAGGGATCTGAATAAAGTGCTTCTCTTTTCGTGCTCGCCTTTCATCTTTCCGAGTTACTTTTCTCAAAGGTGTTAACCGGGTTTAAAAGTAGCAGCCTCAACAGCAAAGAGGAAAACAAAGTAACAATCCGGATTTTATAACAATGTAACTTTCCCTAATTGTTCTAACACTTGGTGCTTTTCAAAGAAGTTCACCAAAGGAATGCCTCGCTGCTTACCAGCATTTTGGGCCCCAAAGTTCCTTCCTGCTGAGTCCCACCCCCAACACAGCATGCCTGGAATGTCTTAAGCATAGCAAACTGGGAAGATATTTTTCAGATGAAAGTGTAAGTGAAATCTTGACCTTCTGAAGTTACGCCGCTGGACAAATAGGTCTTCGCAAATATAAAATTGTAGAACTTTGTTGTCTAGTACTTTTTCGACAGTTGAACACGTGGCAGATAGAAAATCAAAATGTGTAGCAATTCCACTGAGAATATTTGCTCCACCTCAACTTCAGTGTGTTCATGTGTCTCACCAGTGTGACTGTTCCTGCTATCACGGGTAAATTTAGACATTTCTAGGTAATATTTAATGGCTTAGTTTTGACCTTGCCAGCTTCAGGATTGGAGTCCTATGCTGTGATCTTTTGCAGCGACTAAGGTTTACAGATCATTTTAAGGGGATGGTTTGATTAAATTCCATAGAACAGCTTCAAAGCACATCATGTTGCTGCATCGCTGCTGTTCTTTTTTTGAGGGGACACAGCGGCAACGTGGTGGATATGCCGAAAGTCATATGGATTGGGAACTGCTCTTCCTTCCTAGACCCAGGGGCCTTTAGAACAGATTGAGGTGAATTGTGGCCTGAATGTGGACAAAAGGAGACTCTCTGGGCCTCTCTCCCTTGGGAGTGATAGAGTGAAATATTTCACCCTGAAACTCCTTAAGTGTTACTCATTGTGATAACTTTCAAATTTCCAATTTTAACAATGTAAAATATACTAGCAATTACAGCACTCAAGTCTTCTGTTCCTGTTTCTTTCTCCGACCATCTCCACTTTAGTCAACTATTTGGACTACCTTAAACCATGAATAAACTGATAAAAGTTAATGGATACATATCTGATTCTATCAAATTTAACAAATTTTGTATTACAAGGAATACTTATGATAAGGGTACATGGAAACAACTTCCTTTATAAATCATTGGAAGATAATTTGGAACAATGTCTATAAAGACCAGTGGCATAGTATGGTGTGTGTATGGAAAAAGAGACAGACCCTGTTGTTTCTTCCCTATAATTATTTCCTAGGGAAACATAGTTTTAGCCTTAAAATACACCCTGTAAAGCAGGCATGACGGATGCCTGTAGTGTTGCTGTTCGTGTTGCCAGCCTGACTACATCTGGAATTAACTAAAGCCTTAGTGACATGTGAGGGATTTTTTTTTTTTTATTAAATCATTTGAAGTGGGAAGATCTACTTCTAATCTGCATCTTCTGAGACAAGCAGAGCTGTCATTAATGTAGGCCACACCTTCTGCTGGCAGCCTAGGTAAAGGACATGGAAGAAGGAAGCTCTTGTGCTTTGCCTCCTTGTTATTGCTCTATCTGGCTGTTTGTTATTGCTCTATCTGGCAAGTCTATTTCTTCACTGGCATTAGAGCCTCCTCCTTCGGGACTCTGGTATATACTGAAGACCAGCTGAGACATCTAGCCTTGTGTACTGAACAACTACTGGATTTCTAGACCTTCCATTAGTAGACAGCCATTGTTGGACTAGCTGAATCACAGCCTGTAAGCCATTCTAATAAATCCCCTATAGACAGATAGGTAGGCAAAGCTTCATTCTATAAATTCTGTTCCTCTATAGAACCCTGACTAATACAAATGTAATCCCAGCACTTGAGTCATAGAGACAAGAATTGTGAGTTCCAAGCCAGCCTGACCCACATAAAGCCCTACTTAAATAAATCACACACATCCACACACACACACACATCCACATACATACTTATATTTGAATAGAATTGTCTATACTTATGAAGGAATATTTTGTAAAAATAAATATGTTGGAAAATATCCGTTATAAAAGTATATTAACCATATATTATGAAATAATGAAAATGGTTTTCACACATTCTAAAAAACAATTCCATGTTTATGAAGAAACACATGTTTAACAAAAAGAAAAGAAAAAAGTCCCAAAGTTGACATTTAAAAAGCCCTTTAAGTGTGGGTAATTAATGTATTTTCTTTGGACCTTTTTTGTACTTTCTAAATTATGCTTAAGGAATTCATCTTTTGTAACAAGACAATTTATTTATAAAGCAGTAACCTTGTTAATGGTTAAAATGTTCCAGTTGTCTGCTTCAAGCAGGGCTTTGATTTGTACCACTTGCAAATCAAAGACAGTAATATGGTAATGTAGAGTTTCAGTCATGGTCCCAAGAATAGTGAGAGAAAGATTAGGAAAAAATAGTCACCAGGCTAAAAGGAGGCTCTGTGTATTTGCATACAGTCACAGGCTTCTGCGACAAAGCCACAGCTGGATTTCGGTTCTGGGCATACCTCCTCTAACATCTGGGGACCCCGATAAGAGCCTGTGACGGTAACCACTGATGAGGGCTTCAGTTGTGGCTCTTCATTATGCTCCCAGCATCTGCTTTATTACACTTGTCTCATGTGCATTTGCTTCTGGGATGGACTCCCGACTATTTGTACTTTCTGCAAACTGATAAAAAAAAAATAACTGAGCTGTGTTTTGCTTTAAAATAACACAGAATCAATCAGGGTACGTGAAAAGATATATAATATATACACATGAAACCGGATTGGCCCTAGGTTGATAAACTTTCAAGCTGGATGATGAATTCTTGGGAATTCATTATGTTATTCCCTCCACTTTAGCTTTCAAAATTTGCCAGAGATTTAATTGAAAATATTACAGCATAGCAGAAAGATTCAGACATAGCCTGGAGCTTTGAAATCAATTCCAGTTGCAGGCTGAGTGACTTGCGGTCTGGAGAGATGCCAAAGGCCCAAAGCTTCCCTGTTTACTGCTCTAGTTGGCAGTGTGGACTTGGGAGAGCCAGGCCTAGAAATGAGGCAACCTGAAGTGTCGTGCAATAGCCAACTCTATGCAGAGTATCAGGGTTAGGAAGACTCGCGTGAGTAAAGCATTCGGTCGTACAAACCCACACATGGCAAAAACATGTTTTTCCAGAGAGGCACATGAATAACAGCTGAAGTAAGCTCACTCTTATCTGCTGCACCTGGGGGAACACCAAAACTTTTTAAGATCAATTCTGTGTTGAACAAACCGAGGTCACAAGACTCTTGTTTTCTTGGAGTTTTCTCACAAGCATTCAGGATTCTCACACGACTCATAAATAAATTTTATTTATTTTTATTGAGCGCTACATTTTTCTCTGCTGCCCTCCCTGCCTCTCCCCTCCCCTTCAGCCCTCCTCCAAGGTCCCCATGCTCCCAATTTACTCAGGAGATCTTGTCTTTTTCTACTTCCCATGTAGATTAGATCTATGTATGTCTCTCTTAGGGTCCTCATTGTTGTCTAGGTTCTCTGGGATTGTGATTTGTAGGCTGGTTTTCTTTGCTTTATGTTTTAAAACCACTTATAAGTGAGTATATGTGATCATTGTCTTTCTGGGTCTGGGTTACCTCCCTCAAAATGATGTTTTCTAGCTCCATCCATTTGCCTGCAAAATTCAAGATGGCACAACTCAATTCTTGAACTGTGTTCCAACATCTCCACCTTTTTTTATTTTTTAGTAGCATCTTGAGAGTGGTTTTGATTTGAGATGTAGATCAATCTATTTATCACTTGATGCATGAGTTCCTGTAAGCAAGCAAATTATAATATTAGAACAGTGAAAGCATTGTGTGTAATACTCTGCCACCAAGAACTGAGATACAAACTTTGTCCAGTACTATTAATTACTATTATTATATTGATCAGAAAAATCTAGAGAATGACTAGAAAATGAGACCCCTATGATTAGTAGTTCTAGTATCTTGTAGAACATACGCCTACCCTTGCCTTTAATAGTAACACATATGTTATGATGTTCTATGCAAATGAAAAGTTATTTAAATCCCAAGAAAAATTGAATGCAGTCCCTTGTGGTCTATTGTGGTCTCAAGGTCCATTCATAAACACAGAGTTAATTAACTTCTCCCTTGATGCACAGTGCCTTAACTTGGCCCCAGGTATGCAACTTGACTTCTGATGATATGATTGATATCTCCTTTTGTCCTTTAGATGGTGGTTTGTTCTCTTTCTGGGGACTTCCATTGTTTCTTCACCATCTACTATTGTCCCTGATGGCCTGGGCCCAGAAGAATCAAAGAGGGATCCATATTATTTCAGTAGGATCCGTCTGCAATGACAGACACATACTTCTCCCCGATTTTCTTCTGGAAAAGTAAAAATGGGGCAGGTTAATGCATCAGCTTGTTTATTTTCTCCTGCAGTAAAACCAGGAAGGTTAGGGTGTGCACAAGTCTGAGTATATTTCTATTTCTGGAAATAGTTTTACAACATAAGCAGAACCTGAAATAATATTTAAGGGTTCATGAATGAACCGTAATAGATGAACCAAACAACCATTCCACCTATTGGACTAAAGAACAAGAAGTATTAATAGATTGACGAATATCTGGACCTTGAATCCTTCCTATACTATTAGATGAGCAATAGATAAAATAAGTATCAGCCTGTGGAATGGGGGAAGGTCAGACGATTTGTGTTCACAAATATAGTAAGAGGAAATCCCATAGTTTGCCAGCTGGATAATAATTTTGTACCCTTCATAGTCATTTGCAAATGAAATTTGAAAGTCCATGGAGTTCTGTGATGCTCTTAAAAATCTATTACTAAGGATAATATAACACAAGAAGGATCAAACCCCTGATTTACTACTAATTGAGCAAGAAGAGTAAGGTAAGTCTTAGTATATTGTGGCCCTTACAGTGTAACTAGATCATTCTAAAGGTTTATTCTCTTGTACTATAATACCTGTGGGAGACAATTTAGTGGGGAAAATAAGAAGGTTTAAAGGCAGCGAAGGAGACACTCGATACACAAATGCTTCTTTTAGTCTGAATTCAAATAGCTGTAGTTCTTTCCTTTCAAGATAATATACAAGGACTAATATCGTCTTTCCTTCTAGAGTTTTAAGGCTAGTGCATAGAAACATTTCAATTTTGCTGAAATTGCACTGGAAATCCCAGTTGTACCTCATGAGGCCAGGGAGGCTTTGCTGAAACAAATTTCATTTCCCTGTCATGCTCTAACTTGCCTAGGTTGTAAGGTTAGCGTTCCCACAGGCTCTCCTAAGTCCTCATCAAAAGCGGATGGAATTCAGTATTAGATTGATTATCAAATTCCTCATCCCATGCTTCAAGGTCATTTTCAGGCAATAGAGGATACATACTTAAAGGAGGCTCCAGTAAGGGAGCTTACAGAGTCATCACTAGCATGGGTCTCACCATTATTACCTTTGATTTTTGCCTGCATAGGGAAAACCTCCTTCTTTGCTTCTTTTACCAGTTTTAAGGTTTGATCATCCAGTGTATATGCATTCAAAGAATTAGCCATCTTTCCTCATGATTACTCTTCTCCTTAAGGGTCTTATAACAATTTGAATCAATGCCCAGGTGATAGAAATTAAACAGCCATCATTCCCCTGTTACAGCTGCCTCTTGAATATCCTTTCGGATCCTGTTCATGCTTGTTCATCTAAAGTTCCTTCTGGAAACCAGGGCTTCTGCTTCTGCTCCTCCTTTCTCTAAAAATGATGCACAGGGTCAACATAAGGTAAAGCCTTCCCTGGGTTCTGCCCTATTGCCCTCACCTCCCTCAGTGAAGATCCCTACTCTCTTACCTCAACTGACATCAGGTCCTCGATTCATGGAGCCACTTGTTACCTCTCTAGAGGAGGTGGGACGTGGAAGGCACCAGGAGCATAACTGTCCTCCTCCTCTAGTTCATCAGGACTAGTGACAGTCCTCACCTGGTCTATCTCAATCTGTTCCATTAGATACATAGTACAACCTTGCCATCTCATAAAGCGTCTTGCTGGGCACAATGGTGATTTCCTCACTTGCACGCTGTTCAGGAGGAAGTCATGCCCAGGGGCATGTCCTAGTGCCCAGTGATCACCTGGGCTCCTCCTCCAGGATGCAAGTGTAGGTCGTATTGGCAGATCTGTGATAAAAGTAAAAATGTCGGTATGAAACAATATCCACGTAACTGGATGCTACTAATCTATCTTGTCCACATTTCTCACAAATCACAGTAAATATTACTTGGAACCACTCGTGTACCATAAAGGCAGGACAGCTTATTATTAATAAGCCTTAATGGGTGCAAATGAGATTTCTGGGATGGGACATCAGAACAAAGTAGAAAATAAAGAAGCTATTGTTTATGCTAGCCAAATGAAGGGGAGAGTACTACCCCCCCCCCAACACACACACTTTTGGCCATTTGTTTGTGACAGGTCTTGCTATGTAGCCTGGACTATCCTCAAACTCACTCTATTCCTGTCTCCAACTCCTAAGGACTACAGGATTCAGCTACCACACCCTGCTTGGTCTTTTTAGGAAAGAAAACTAGCTGGTAACATTTTAAAGTTACTCAACAACAATTATTCTGTTTGCCCATGTCTCAACCAGTTGTCCATTCCAGCAAATGCTGGACTGGAATATTATATGTATTCTTTATTAAAAAGAGGAAAGGTACATTGTTAACCCTTCACTTAGTCACTGTACTGTAGCTGTGCAGAGACACCATGCCTAAGGCATTTAATTGGGGGCTTGCTTACAGTTTCAGAGGACGAGTGCGTGACCATCCTGGTGGGGAGCATGGCAGCAGGCAGACATGGCACTGGTTGCTGAGTACTTACATGTTGAGACCACAACCACAACCCTAAGGCAGAGAGAGAGCAAGCTGAAATCCTGGGAGCTTTTGAAACCTCAAAGCCTACCCACAGTGGCACACCTCCAACAAAGCCACACCTCCTAATCCTTCCCAAATCACCTGACCAACTGGGGACCAAGCATTCAAACATATGCGCCTGGGGGGCCCATTTTTATTCAAACCACCACATCCCTGTAACAATAAAGGTCACCATAATTCTGTCAGACACCTCTCTTAGTCTTCATGTTTCCTCTTAATTCAGCCAAAATTTTGTGTCCATTGTGTTATCTCTGTATCACTTAGGATAGATATAGTATCTCCTTGCAATAAGCCATTCTATAATGTTATGGTTCTTGCCCTTGTCAGTTATTTTTATGTTCTCTAGGAGTGAAACGGGAGGAAATGGGCCTTTGAGAATTACAGAGACATTCTTGTCTCTGGTGTGCTTAATTCGGGGACTAGGGTACTAGGCTTTCATGGTCACCAAGCCTCCATGAGTCAGTGGCTTGCCATTTCGTCTTGAGAACTCAAAGATTGAATTTCACAGGGTAAATTTTGAAAGGGGGGAGTTACTATAGAGAGAAAGCCTAAAGAGGAGGATTATTGCAGAGAGGAAGTGAGCAGAGCTTCTGAGTGGTAGAAGGGGTCCCAAGAGAAGGTTGGCTTCTGAGAGGCTTTGTGTAGAGGTTAATATGACTTCTCATGGAGGAAGCAAATTGGCTTTTGAAATGACTGGGCTGAGATAGGGGGAGGTGAGTTCCTTAGCCCAGATTACCTAATCATAGATCCCCACGAGGTGTCTGTGTGCCTCTCTGTCCCAGTAACTGGACTGGGATTCTTGTGAGCACCTCCAAGGAGCAATGAAGTATCTGACTGTGCAGAGCTTCTGGCAGCTCATTAGGCTGTTGTTCTAAAGAAAGACAAACAAAAACCCAAGGACACAAACCAGGGTATATGGCCAGCACAGGTCTGACTTTTGGCCAGGACAGAACTGTCAACAAAATAAAGGATGCTTCTGACGGGCAGCAGAACAGCTTGTTTGCAAGATCTCTTTCCCTTAACTACCTAGCAAGTTTCTTTCTCTTATTCTCATCACTAGGTTTAATATGATTAGTCAGGAATTATAAATCTCAAGAAGAAATTCTAGAAATATATAGTTCTCATGAAAATCATAATATTAATTGTATGCCATGTTTTATAATATCCAATATGGTATAAGTGGCCACAATGTTATTCTTATCATTACCACTTTTAGTTACTTACAGTTTTATTGAAAATGAACTAAAAAGTACTTAAGAGGGTAGACATAGTGCTACATACCTGCAATTCAGCACTTTAGAGGCTGAGGCAAGAGGATCGGAAATGCCAGGCCAGTCTCTGGTATGTGGTAAGATCCAAAATACTAATGATAGTAATAAATAACTTACAACCTTACATTTTAAGTGTACAGCTCAGTAGTGCAAATACGTTTATACTATGAAACATCCCCAGAACCTTTTCATCTTACAAAAACAAAAACCATGCTCACTAAACAAAAATCTCATTTTCTCCTTTCTCCTCGACAAGCACCATTCTGTTTTCTTTGTCCATGAATTTGTCTACTTAGATACTTTATATAAATTGAATCCTACAATATTTGCTCTTTTGTAACTAGCTTATTTCACTAAACATAATGTCCCAGCCATGTAGCCCGTGACAAGTTATCATGTGCTTTTGAAGACTTCATAATGTTCCATTCTGTGTTCATACCACATTTTGTTAACATATCCATCCATCCCTCAATGTTTGCATTCCTTCCACCTCTGTTTACAAGTATGCAAATATCTCTTTGAGAGTCTGATGCTGTGTCCTTTGGACAGATAACAGATCATGTAGCTAACTCTACCTTAATTTTCCAAGGAACCACCATTCTGTTTTTCATAACATCGCATTGTTTTACAATCCCATCAACAGTGCTGGGGGGAGGGGGGCGGGTTGAGACTTTCCACATTCTCATCAGCAGGTTTCGCTTTTAGCTTTTGTTCTCTCTCTCCCTCTCCCTCTCTCTCTCTCTCTCTCTCTCTCTCTCTCTCTCTCTCTCTCTCTTTCTCTCTCTCCCTCTCTTTCTCTCCCCCCACTCTCTTTCTTTCTGTGTTCTGTATGCTTATGTGTGCACATACAGAAAGGACAGAGTCATGCTCTATAGCTCCTATTTTCTGAGACAGGCTCTCTCACTGAACTTGGGGCTCACCAAACCCAGCCTTTACGTTGGTGGTGGGGATCAGAGGCAGGTCCTCACGCTGCTCAGCAGGCACTTTGCCCACCGAGCCATCTTCCTAGCTCCCAGATTTATTTTTAATAGCGGCCATCGGACTAGTATAAAATAATATCCTTGTGGGTTTTATTTGTGACCCTCTGATAGTTAACTGACGTTGGACATCAGTTCATGTGTTTGTTGGCCACTTTAGAGAAATGTTATTAGAGTTACAGCATAAAGAACAATTTATTAAAAAATGAGCCACAACGACAGCCCTACAGGACCTGTGGTAAAAGTAAGGAGGTCCTATCACATAGTGGCATGGTAATCATTGTGCATATGGTGTTTATTCGTGTGTTTGTGTTCACAGTTGCTTATAAAAGTATAGCACGTATGTAACAAGTATGATCTTGGTAATTATAGCAACAATGATCCTTGCTTGTTACTTACTGTCTGAGGTAGGTTTTCTGTTGCTGTGAAGAGACACCATGACCACTGCATGTTTTCCTTATAAAGGAAAATATATAATTGAGGTGGCGACTTATAGTTCAGAGGTTCAGTCCATTATCATCATGGCAGAGAGCATGGTGGCGTGCGGGTAGATATGGCACTGGCTACATCTAGCTCAGAAGGCAATAAGAAGTTGGCTGAGTGTCACACTCCCTCCAACAAAGCCACGCCTACTTCAACAAGGTCATACCTCCTAATAGTGCTACTATTTCCTTTCAAACCACACTTCCTACACTTTCCTCTTATTTGACTAGAGTATACGTATTAAAGGGAGTCTGTAAAACATTCTGCTCTGTCCGCCAGCAGCAGTCTCTTATGTCTTCTGTTTACCATGTATTTTGATTTTATCAAAGGTCACATGAACAGAATGACCTGTACCACCTAGGTTTATGTAAGTACACTCCACAATGTTCCCACAACAATGTGAACCATGGCTATTGTCTCTGATAGCCTGTGACATCAGAAAACCTGCACGAAATGTCACAGGCCATGAGATAATCTCTGAGTTGACATTCTAGAGGATATAATTTTAGATTCTTCATCAAGTTTGAAGGTACTATAAGTTATTTGATATCTTTTAATAATGATAATCTTACAGTTACCACCCTCTTTCCACCTTAATTTCTGAGAGAGGATCTCACTATGTAGCCCTGGCTAGCTCAGAACTTGCTATGTAGACTAGGCTGGCTCCAACTCACAGAGATCTACCGCTTTGCCTTTAGAGCACTAGGATTAAAAGTATATGCCAAATATAGTTATTCTTTATAATTAAAAAGTTGAACAACTATTACAAATGTGACTTCTTAGTCTTTTATAAAAACCCAAAGAATAGAGCAAGTGGAATATATCTCTAAAACTGAATGCCCAGTATATATATATATATATTTTTTTTTTTTTTTTTTTGGTTTTTCGAGACAGGGTTTCTCTGTGGCTTTGGAGCCTGTCCTGGAACTAGCTCTTGTAGACCAGGCTGGTCTCGAACTCACAGAGATCCGCCTGCCTCTGCCTCCCAAGTGCTGGGATTAAAGG